CATAGCGACCCAAGGTGCGTTGCGTCGTTTGATATATTTTTTCTAGAAACTTCACTAATAGAAGAAGCACTAGAATTTAATTGAGCCATTTTGATCTAGTCCATTATTTGCGAAGAATTGTCAACACTGACTCTTCCAGCTCCATTTGCAATGGACTCCAATTCAAATAATAAATAAGTCGAAAAATTTAAACGTGCAAATAAATTAAATGTGTAAAAATAAATTATTAAATATATAAACCGTTCACATTTTTCGACATGTAATAGATTCAAAGACATGCATAAAATTAGAAAACATCGACAATAGACATTTTTATTGTTAAAAGGCATGACCTTATTGGCGTTGCTTACCCGCAAAATATAACTGCCTCAAATTCTTAGGCTCTTGCCTCCCAACTTCACTACCGTGTGCCTTGGCACACCTAACTAGGTGTGCCAGGGCAGTTTTGCACGCGCCTCCCTCACCTCAAAAACAAGAAAATTTGGAGAGTGTAGTGCACATTCATATTTTTCCTTTTTTAATTGAAAAATGAGACATATTACATAAATTAAAATATCATTAATTATTTATATTAAAAAAATAAAATAAAAATACCAAAATTCATAATTTTTCATTATCTATAAATATAGACCACATTTGATAGGTTTATGAACACAACTAATTTTTCATTTTTTCGTAATTATTTTATTATACTGACATATAATGAACATATTACATAATAAAATGAATATGTTTTCAAATATGATGAACATGTTACAGATTGCAGATTGAAATAATACATATTCATCTTATTTTACAACATGTTCACCTTATTGTGTATGTAACATGGTCATCTTATTCTATAACATGTTCAATTTATTATGTAACATGTTCATCTTATTCTATAACATGTTCATTTTATTATGTAACACGTTCATCTTATTTTAGAACACGTTCATCTAAATTTCATCTGTGAAAATGTAACAATTTCATCTTATTCTATGACATGTTCATCTTACTCTATAACATGTTCATCTTACTATGTAACATATTCATCTAAATATAGATTTATGTCATAATCTTCCAATAAGATAAATTAATTGTAAAAAATGATAAATTAATTGTGTTAAAAAAAATATCAATTGTGGTCTCTATTTGTAGAGAATGAAAAATTATGAATTTTGGTATTTTTATTTTTATTTTTCGATACAAAAGATGACTGATAATTTAATTTATATAATACGAATTTCATTGTCCAGTAGAAATGGGACACATGTCTCATTTAAAAAAAAAAAAAAATGCCTTACCTTCTTTACCTCATACGCTTTTGGGGTGTATTTTATAAAAGGCCCCCGCACACGCTTGCCTCCTCTCTTTGTATTAAAAAGGCATACTTGATTAGACGTTTCTAAAACATAAGAAAGGCATGCATAAAATTAGAAGACATGGAGAATTGACACTCACGATGGAAAACCAGCCACCACAACATTGGGACAGACCCTCTGAACTGCTACAAGACCATATAGTACGAGGACAAGACCGATTGAAGACCCACGTGTTTTTAATCATCTACCATTAAATCTCAAAATGAAATTAACATTTTGATGAGGACAAGACCAAGACTTCTACAAAGAAAACCGCATCACTCTAAAAATCTATATATACTCTCCCACTTTTAGCTTCAAACTTCATCTCATCAAACTAAAGTTTTTAAGCCAAAAATAAAAAAAAGGGAAAAAAAAAAACAAGAAGAATGGCAAAACTGCATATTGTCCTTTTCCCAGCCATGTCATACGGGCACTTGATTCCCACCCTTGACTTGGCCAAGCTCTTCACCTCACGAGGCCTAAGGGTCACCATCATAACCACCCCTCCTTTCGCCCCAACCGTCGAGCGTGCCCGTTCCTCCGGCCACGACATCGGCCTCAAGACCCTCGATTTCCCCCCCAAAAACTCCCTCCTCCCGAAAAACATCTTCAGTCTCGACCAGGTCTCGAGCCCCGACCTCCTCGCCGAGTTCTTCGAGGCCACGGCCCTCCTTCGGGACCCGCTCGAGCGCCTCCTCCTCGACCTCGACGCCAGCTGCCTTGTCTCCGGCATATTCCTCCCCTGGACGGCGGGCCTTGCTAAAGATCTCGGCATCCCGCGACTCGTCTTCCACGGCTGGGGCTGTTTTGCCCTTTGCGCCTCCGAGCACATGCACATCCACGAGCCGCACAAAAGCCTATCTTCCGACTCGGACACTTTTGTCCTTCCCGGCCTTCCCCACGAGCTGACATTCGTTCGGAGCCAGGCTCCATCCAGAGACCAGGATAGTTTGTTCTCGAGGATGAAGGAGAGAATGAGGGAGACAGATAGGGAGAGTTTTGGGGTCGTCGTCAATAGCTTCTATGAGCTCGAGCCAGACTACGCCGATCACTACAAGAATGTGCTCGGGTTGAAGACGTGGCACGTGGGCCCACTGTTCCTACTATGCAATGACGAAGGGGATAATAAGGAGAAGTCGCGGGGGAAAGAGTCGGACATCGACGAGCACGAGTACCTCACGTGGCTCGACTCGAAGAAGCCCGATTCGGTAGTGTACGTGTGCTTCGGGAGCATGGTCACGTTCACGCGGGCACAACATCACGAGATGGCCGCGGGACTCGAGACGTCGGGCCATGACTTTGTGTGGGCGGTGAGGCACGAGGGAAAAGAGGATCCACTCCCAGAGGGGTTTGAGGAACGGATGAGTGGGAAAGGGCTTGTGATAAGGGGGTGGGCCCCACAGGTGACAATTTTGGGGCATGAGGCCGTAGGGGCGTTTGTGACGCATTGCGGGTGGAACTCGGCATTGGAGGGGGTGTGCGCGGGGGTGCCGATGGTGACATGGCCAGCATTTGCGGAGCAGTTTTATAACGAGAAGTTGTTGACTGAGGTGCTTCGGGTGGGAGTACCGGTGGGGAGCAAAAAGTGGGAGAGGGTGGGGATTGAGGGGGTCGGACAGGAGGCGGTGAGGGCGGCAGTGCAAAGAGTAATGGCCGACGACGAGATGAGACAGCGGACCAAGGATTTGAAGGTGATGGCGAAGAGGGTCGTGGCGGAAGGTGGGTCATCGTACGAGGGTTTGAATGCGCTGATCGACGAGCTTAGGGTTTATGTGCCTTCTTGAAACATGACAACAACTAGAGAACAAAGAGTTTGAAATTTGGTGATGATATAAACTGGTTTGGTGTTTTGAGAGTTTGTGTTTTTCTTTGATGTGATGAGGGATGAGACTACTTTGTGTGCTTTGAAATTTCTAGTAAAATGTTGTTTTTATAGTGATAAGTTCCATTGGTGATGCGCGACACTGACACAACAAAATAAAATTCATATTTCTCATCAACTAACTTCTTCTAAGTGGCCTTGGGATCCGTTTGTCGGCTTTTTCTGAGGTGACCTTGGGATCCACCGCTTATCGGATGTAGTTTTCGCCTTCACTTATAAGTTGTGTCGCTTCGAAGAGGGAAATTCACTTCGGAATCAGTACCTTCTCGGGAAGTACTGCCCTAGAGGTGCAGTCACTCCTGTAGGGTGACAACCACCACTCGTGATAGTAGACGGTGGAGGTGTCTCACCGGGGTAGGTTGGCTCACCTAGAAGCACATCTTCTGGATGCTAGACGAGGAGGATATTAGCTTTTGGGACGAGTGGTGGTTTCGTAAGGGGCCTTTTTTTAGCAATAGACAGGTCACTCACTCTCATTTTTTACGGGTGAAGGTCTTGTGGTCTGATAGGCATAGGATAGAGATAGGTTAGAGAGGGTGTTGGGTTCTGGAGCGGGTTTTAGTGACCATGTTTTAGATCAGATCAAGCAGATTCTCATCTCGGAGGACAGTTCGGACAGTATAATGTGGAAACTTACATCTTCAGGTGCTATTTCTATGAACTCGGCTTGGGGCGAAGTTCGGCTGGGTGACCTGCTTACCCCGACCATCTCTGTTTTCTTTTGGCGCCTTCTTCTGGGCTGAATTCCGATCGACGCTCTGATGTAGACGAGGGGGTTTTCCTTCCTCTCGCGGTGTTACTGCTGTACCGAGACCGGACATTTCCAGACGAAGACTTTATCTCATTTTTTTAGAGAGCGAGGTTGCGTGGAGTGTGTGGGAGCACTTCACCACTTATACTCATATATCCCTTCCCACCACATGTAGTTTTTTTGAGCTCCAGAGTTTTTTTCTCACAACGCACACACTGTAGACACGTGGCCTTTCTCATTCTTTGTATGATTTTGTGGTCCATCTGGACATAAGGGATAGTGCAAAGCATAAAGATATTACTTTTATGTGCTCTCACATTATTTTGCAGGTTAAACAACATCTCTCTCTCTCTCTCTCTTCTCACAGCTCCGGGTAGCTCACACCTAAAGACTGGACTCGCTTTTGCAGGTTAAACAACATCTCTCTCTCTCTCTCTCTCTCTCTCTCTATCTCTCTCTCTCTCTATCTCTCTCTCTCTCTCTCTCTCCTCACAGCTCCGGGCAGACTCACACCTAGAGACTGGACTGACTGCATGCCGCCCCACCGCTTCATACAATCTCCATTGTCGCATGTTCAAAACCCGTCCCAGAGCCATTTTTTGTTAGACCCGATTCCCCTTGGGTTAAACTAAACACTGACGAATCTTTCGATAGACTTACCGGAGCTGCCAGAGGAGGGGGCATGATTAAGGACCACATCGTAGATCTCATTACCGCCTTCCACGCCCCTCTTCAGGCCACCCCAAGTTATGATGCCGAGGTTTAAGCGCTTTAGATCGGTCTTTAGATCGCAACCTCTATCTCTTCTCACTGGATAGAGATGGATGTTGCTGCTACTGTCACCCTATTGACCTTATGCCACCAGGGTTTGTGGTAGATTCAACACCTGCTCATGCGCACCAGCTCCACACTTCAGTCAGTTTGCTACTGGATATCGCACGTCTTCTGTGACGGGAACTGACCCGCTGATTTCCTCGTTTGCATTGGTGCCTCAACTCCCAAGAGGCGCATCCTTCAGCTGGACGACACTCCTCTCCGTCTCCATACTCTTGTGCAGATGGATCAGATTGGTTACCCATCGTTCAGTTTTGGGTACTCGTTTTAGTTTTTATGCTTTAGCCCACTCGTGGCGCAGACTGTTTGCATGGGCACCTGTCAGCCCAGTTTAAGATCTTTCGATTTGGTTGTAAATTTCGTTTTCTTTCTTTTTGTTTATGGTTTTGATTGTTTTGTTTGCTGTTTGAACATGTAAATTTTTAGTTTTTCAGCCCATCTTGGGTCTGATTATATACATGTGGGGGTCCAGCCTTAAATCCTTACCATTCTAGGGTTTTTTTTAGGAATTTTTTTTTCTAATTGGCAGTAGTGGCGAGTAAGGATCGATCCCGAAAGAAGTGTAAATCGAATTGTAATTTTTCGTGTTAATGAGAATCATAAAAAGTGATAAACAATGGATTATAAAATCTGAGAACAATATAATAGAAATAAAAGAAACCAAAACAGATATATAAAGAAAATTCAAGTTGACGGTTCTGTCTGGCCGTCACTCGACTAGTTTAATCAATTGTGATCTCAAGTTTCACTATTTTCCAAAATTACTAGCCTTAGGTAACAACACGCTCTACACTCGAATTTTTTCTTACATTATATTTAGCCGAGACACGCCCTTTGGTAAAATACAATGTTTAGTTGGTACATGTGAATTAATTACCAAGAATAAGGCAATTTGTATCAGATGTCAACGTTTTCTCTCAGCTAAACAATTTTGCTTTAGAGCATAGGGGCTTAAAATTTGATGGTTTATGCCATAATCATGAAAGAATTTGGTTAAGGATGTAAACTTACCTCCACCATCACTTTGAAAAACCTTGATCGTGTTTGGATAATGTATTTCAACAAAACTTTCGAAGTGAATGAAGGCCTGACGGGTATCTGATTTGTTTTTTATCATATAAATCCATGTGCTCCAGAGGCATACTCAATAAAGGAGGCATAGTAACTATAACCATGAAATAATTTAATGGGTGCAAGACTCCATAGGTCTGAGTGTATGAATTCAATGGCTTTATAATTTTTGTCTTGGGCATAACAGAAATGAAGCTTATGCATTTTAGCTTTCATGCATGAAAGATAAAGACTTTCTGTTTCATCTTCAAGACCATGTTCCGTAGAAGATACATAATGTCTCGCTCATTGTTCCTTCGAATTGTCGACACAGTCAAAGATCATGATCATTACTTTCAACAGCGAGTATATCGAGCTGGTAGACTTGGATTATCTCCAATACAAAAAATAACTGCTGTCTTTCGTATGTTGGCATACGGTGTTCCAGCAGATGCTACTTTTGTAGCACAAATTGTTATTTTTTACCGAGTACCGAATCGAAAGATTCGTTCCCCGGGTTGATCTCACGAGGAAGGCGGTTCGGAATTCAGCTTTGGAATCAATCACACTTAAAAAGAAAATAGATCCTAAACACTCTAATCAGATAGCCGTTTGGATGAATTATTAACTAAGAAATAAAATAAAATAATAATCTGCCTAAAAATGCAAACGAAACAAAGATGGAGAAGCTAGGGAGTCGGGAAATTAATTCAAGTTCTACTCGCACACCGGGACATGAATCATTCTATTCTATATTGATGCTCTTGCTTAAACATCTAGCGGTTCACTCCCAATAACTCTTCGTAACAAGGGACTGAACATAGACGAACAAACTCGAGCATACGACACATGCCAATTATCCCATTCCCAATAACTTTTCGTAACAAGGGATGGGTCATCGACAAGCGCGTATTTCAACCCAAAACTTATAGACTAATCAGTTACGACATCGTCTATCTCATGCAAGCCTAGGTCTACGACTTCTCCCCTTTCGGGTCAAAAAATCGCTAATTCAATTAGAAGAAGTTTAATCAACTAATCACATAGAATTGACAAACCCTAACTCGACAAATTAACATCCAATTGTCATCAATAGCAAGATCGAAATGTCACTTTTAGATTATATCAATCTATCGAACAATAATTCAACATCAATTCAACCCACACAAGAACGAACAATTCAAGCCTGAGAGATACGAATTAAACAAGGATAATCATCCCTTATCCCTAGCAATAGGAATTAGCTACGCAATATCAATTCAACACAATCAATCATCTCTCTCAATTCAATCATTTTTCATGAATTAAAAATAAAGAGAAGAACTTACAATAAATCGCAATTCGAGTGTTGAATCCAAAATTACAAAGCTTAATCCTTGAATTCCAAGAAAAAGAGGAAGAAAAATGGAAGAGAAAGATGAAACAAGAAGGAAGAAAGGTTTAGAAGAAGATGGGAGAAGAAGGGGCGCGACATGCAGCTTTTTAATAGCAAAATTTAGCTTTCGTTGGGATTATTCTCCCCCTCCTGAGGACGGACCTAGGGCAAGAAAACACGGCCGCGGAGCTTCCCGCTGGCCACGGTGAGCAAAGGCTCCGCGGCCGCGACTATTCTCGAGGCCGCGACATTTTTCCACAGAAGGTTGGGCGCTGGCAGTTTTTTTGTTTGTCGCGACCCCTTTATTCACCGCGGCCGCGACCGCGGCGAAGAAAACTGGGCTACACTGCACGACTTTACGCTTTTTGCTCGTTCGGGTTCGTTTGAACTCGGAATTGAGTTATGTTTTTTACTACGCGTCGCTAACGAATCCTTCTATCTAACTATGCAAACCCATCAAATATTTTCTTGAAAACTTGTTCTCCCAAAGCTTATGACATGCACACCAAAAACGTGATTTGCGCGACTTTGCTGTTTGAGCCCGTTCGGGCTCGTCCAAGCTCAAAATTGTGTTCCGCTTCTTCCTATATGTTGCCAACGAACCCATCTTCACAACCATGATTGCTCGATCAACTTTCGGGCTAGATCCATTCCTCATGGGGCTTCCGACCTGCACACCAAAAACGAAAGAAAATCGGAAAAACACACGAGAAACAAAAGAATTGCCAAAATAGAGCTAACCACGAAATAAAATACAAAACGAACTAAAAAAACAACTAAAAGACCTAATATGGGGGTAAAATAAAGGCAAAATGACAACAAAAAAATGCAACAAAAATAGGACAAACTGCTACAGATGAGTATGTTAAAATTGGTGAGTCCACTGCAATTG